TTTTGTTTTTTGATGGATTTTGATGATGGTAATGAAGTTGCAGCACATCAAATATCTTAGTAAGGTCCAAATCCCATCAAATTTTTTATGCAGACTATTGGTAAATAAGAGATATCTTTGCATCAGAGAAGGATGCTGATGGATGCTTTCTTGTTTCGGCTTCAAGTCTTGTGATTTTATTTAAGCAAATAATTTAAACATCAGATTTAAATTTGACAAAAGATTCTAATTTAGGCTTTAAGATTAAGACAGAATAAAACCATTTCAAGGTACATTGGATAATCTGAACACTGGCAGAGGAAATGAAGGAATGAGTCATGCAATTATTCTTTGAGCAAATTGCAAACTGCCAAGATGCTTCACTGACAACATAAATGAGATTATGGCGGCGTGAGAATTCTTTAATTTAGTGCAGGCAAATGAGAATCACCAATCAACAATGGATAAACTTTGACAAAACCTTGTAAGTTGTAATAAATAAATTTGCTATGTCATAGTTGTAAATCAGCTGATGGAGAAATACCCTACTAAAAATTGTCCATTTCTTGCCTATGAGTCTATGACAATATCAAGATACGTAAATAACAACCCTGCTAAGCTAAGCAAATGTTGTTAATAGATCACATCTATGATTCAAATTTTAGAGTTAACATTTAAAAAAATAGTTTTTTTTAAAGTTTATTATTTGATGTAAGGTGCATTTATAAAATTATTTGAAAAGAAATTAGTTTCAACATATATAAAAATTAGCACAAGGACACATTGACCATGAAAATCCAAAATAAAAGAGTAAATAATGGGATGTGATGCAAATTTGTTGATCAATACTTTGAGCGTCCAAATCAATTGATTCATTTTGAGTTAAAAAATTTAACAAAGTTATTCGTTAAATTAACATGAGAAAAAAATTTAACCAATGTAAGAATGCATTTTTAAAATTATTTAGGAAGGAATTAATATCAAGATATATAAAAATTAGTGCAAAGACACTTAAACTACAAATATCAACAAAAAAAAAAAAAAGATATGTAAATAATCTGATGTCAACGTAAATCTCTATTGATGAATGCTTCGAGGGTCCGAACCAGTTGATTCATATTGAGTAAAAAAATTTAACCAAGTTGTTCATTAAATTACATAATATCGTTTTTTTTGTCACATGAAAATATTAATATTGGGTGAAAGTTCTATATTAACTAACAAAATTTTTTTTTCTTTCTAGTTTGGTTGGTGATGAGTTGAAATTTCTCATATTTTATTGAACTATTTTTTGCTTTGAATGTAGTAAAATTTGGATAAATTTTGTAGAGATTTTACTTGATTTTACATTATTTCAATTATTTTTGTAAGAAAAAAAATATATAATCGGAAGAAATCACAAATCTAATGAGTGATGACTGAATTGCAAAGTTTAGGTAAGAGACAGAAATTAGAAACGAAGAATGCAACCTCAAGGACCAAATTAGTAGTTTTACCATTGGAGAAATGACAGCAGGGCTCAAAATCCCGACGCGAAAATTTCCATCCTCATATTTGGTAAAGGTGTCGATACCTTTATTTTAGGTGTCGACTTCTTAAGCAAATTTTCTAGTACTGAAAATAATTAATAGAGGTTGACATGTTTTGCTATAGTTATTTTTAATTAAAGTTTTCTCTCTTTTTTTGATTGTTTAAAGAAGTTTTGAATTAATTTTTTTTGTACTTAGTTACTTAATAATTTTCATGGAATCAATATTGTGCTAATAATTAAAATTATTAGTAAAAGTATTTAAAGATGAAGATTTAAAATAAATAAATTTAAAGATAAATTTTAGATATCTGTGCATAACTCAATACAAAGATGAAGAATTTTATTGCTTCATATCACAAATACATTAGGACATGATTCTTTCATCGTTATTCTTAAAAAATGCATAGAGCATAATACAAAGGAGTGGAGGCGGAGAGTCTGAAATTATACATATAACATGACATACAGAACAAACTTGTATTCTAACACCAACTAGACACTGTAAATATGAAAGGTAATAATCAAGCATCAGAACCATATATATCCATTTTCCCCCAATCACTTTCTGGCACCCCCAAGGGCCTCCACACTGCTTTGGAGGCATCCACAATGTTGTGAGGGCGAGGAGGCTAGAAATCATGATCAGCATCACAACCCATTGTGGAGTCACATTCATCAACCACCTTGGCCTTGACAGTCCTTCCATTGCCATAGATGGTAATGTAGTTCAGGCACCTACTCACCTTGTTGTACCATCCTGTTGAGAGTGCCACTATAGGGTCATCATCCGAGTGGTTCTGGTTGTCACATTCAGATTGAGCACCACCGTCACAACTCTCCTCAAAGCTGTTAACTGTTAGGGTTGCCTTGGTTTGGTTTGAAACTGTGGAGAAGATTTGTATGTGGGGTAAAGTTTGCCTTCCTTGCAACAATCACAGTCATTGTTTTTGTTGCACTTCCCTGGGGGAGGCCTTTTTGCTCTTAGCTTTCCACTAGGCCTTCAAGTCTGAGCATCAACACTCAAGCCGTTTGTAACAAGAAAAATGATACATAGGAGGAAAAAGGCACAAGAACAAAATTGCTTCTTCATCTTGATCTCTTTTTCTTGTCTCAAACTTCTGTTATGCTTTCCCTTGGTGCACAAAAGCTGAATAAGGGGTAGGGTTTATATAGAGGAGATTCAGTTTTCTTCTCAAGGTAAGCTACCAGTAAATTATTTAAGATGAAGACAATTTTTCAGTCATTTTGCAAGAACTTCACCATCATTAGAAATAACGTACCGGGAAGACAACATTTTGTGTCAGATTAAATGTGACATTGAATTCCATTGCCTATTTTCCAAAAAAAAAGTGACATTGAAAGGAAAAAGAATCACATGCAGCATGGTTAAACACCATTGGATATATTCGTTTGTCATATTACTTTTGTGCTCATTGTACGATCCCATTGGTGATTTCAACCTAAAGATTGTTCTTTTATTATTATTATTATTACTATTATTGATATATTAGATGATAATTTATACAATAAAAGAAAGAAATTTTCTTTTTTTCAGTCTAAAGAAGTTTTGTTCTCTTATGAGCATGGCAGTAAAGTAAAAAATAGAAGTGCCAATATCAAAAACAATAATCTCAAAATCCCTTTTGAATTTTTAGAAAAAAGTATCACCATTACCGTATCAATCAGATTGTTGGTCAAAAAGAAATCACTCTACAAGCAAGTCGGCAGCTATCTTGTTTCTGGTTCAGGGCTTCTGAATTTTTTAAGAAAGTAATTTTCACACCAAATATAGCTGTTCAGCTAGTGGAGTAAATGAAGCTATCGATCTAGCTGCATATTCATCTGTTGGAAACACACCTATTTGGTTGCCATGTTGTTTGGAAGAAGGATCCTATTTATTTGTTGTTAGAATAAAATTATACTTGTTCTTTATGATCCTTCTTATCATGTTGGTTTAGGATTTCCTCCTTTCTGATGAAAACAGATGAGCATCACCGATCAACAATGGAAAAACATTGAAAATGCTTCATCATGGTTGCAATATCACCCGATGAAGACATCCCCTACTAGAAAATTTGTCAATACAAAGAAATGTAAATATGATGATGTCGATCGAAATCCCATTCATCAATATTCGAAGGTCCATATCAGTTGATTCATTGAGAACTAAAAAATTTTGAACTAGATTGTCTTTAAACTACAAATATGAGCACAGAATACCATTTTCTGTCACAGGTAAACTAAGTCAGCATCAAGAAGCCAAAAATCAGCTTGCCTTTTACTGTCTACCCCATGTCCATATGGGACTCTTGCGAATCACATTCTTGTGGCCTCAGAACAGCATGGTATTTACACCGCTCATGGACTATCATAGTGAATTATCATCCACGCATTAGATCGATGTCAACATGGGCGTTTCGCATATCAATCGACCGTGAACCAGGCCATACACTTGTTGGAGATGGAGAGAGATTTTGACTCGGCATGACACTGGTAGGAGTCAACAGATTGTCAACTGCTTGATCATCCAAGTCCTTGATAACTTGACCTTCCCCTTTCTTGCTCTTTGTTTTTGAACCACCCCAAAAGAAACTCCCCACTATCACCTGGAGAAATAACCATATAATATTATCTTTGATTTTTAAAATTTAGATGGATAGTGTGATTGTGAATGACATCACAGGAGTGAGAGCAACTAAAGAGTTACCTGCACAGGACTAGCAGCAATAAGCATTCCTCCAACACCTCCACCAAGGACTCGACCATCTGGACTAGCAAGGGAAACGGTAAGACCACCAGATCGATTTCGGGAACCACCAGCACTGCTGAGAAGGTAAGAGCCTGACAAACATAATATCTCGAATCGCCCCTGCAGAATGGCAAAATGCACAGAAAAGTTTTGCTTTCAACAAGAACTCATGCAAAAGATATTTTGAAGGGAAAGAAGGTTTTAAGTTAATAAGACTAAACACAAAAATCTTAGTCAATGTTAGGAGTTAAGAGATTAGGAACTGTAATAGTATCAAACTAAAAATAAATGAGGAGCGTGAATGTTCATGTCTACATGTGTATACTAGGAAAAAGCTCGCATGGCCTGATTTTAGAACCTGACAATAATAAATCACTAAACATTTTTTGCAACATCATGCAGCTATGTGGCTTCCCAACAAACATCAAGCATGCACTAAATTAAAGTTAAAAAAATATATATATAGAGCACACAGACCTCATAGGTGACGGTGCCACCAGAGGATGATGGCTGACTTAGAGTTACAGTGGAGACTGCTCCATTGGCTGACAAGACACACACTGCTCTTGGCCCTTGCTGTGAAAATGCCATTATTTTTGCCGCAATATCCTAGAGAAGCCAAAATAAAAATAAAAATTCAAGACAAAAAAATTTCTTCCACAAATAACAAGACCTAACAATGTAGAAAGTAAAGCTTTGCAACACTTACAAAGCAAAGCAAAAATTGAAATTTCTTATATGTTAGATTTATAGGATAGCAGATACAGACACTGATACCAATTGGAAAAAAAAATGCCATACTTCTCCAATTTCAATGGTGATGACATGTGGAGTAAAACCCACCCCAGCCGAGCCAGAAAGCCATCCACCTGGAAAAATGAAAAAAATAAAAAAATAAAAAAGACATCTATAACATCATTCATATGACCACCATAGAGAATGCTGGAAACCATACTTGTGCTCATATGGACTAAAACATGAATCACAATCCACAACACAGAATCATACTCTCATAAGCCAATAATAGTTCACAATAGCCTCTCAAACGCTTTAGCAAATCCTGAGAGCAAACTTGTTCACGCAATCAATGATGCAAGCATTACTATTTAGAAGGTGTCATGATATCATTCTTGGTATCTTTGAAATTCAGCATCTCATGGATTCGATTAGTTCTTAATTATCACATCTCCAATTTCTGAAGAATCGCAGAATGATGGTATTTTATTGGTATCATCCTGTAAGTCCTAAATTGATCAAGTACTCTAGTAAATGGAAAATGACTAATTTAACAAACTGACCTACAGCTGAGCATACAGGTAATTTCCTTCACCTCATTCATACCATTTCTCTGAAAAACCTTGAGCTCTTCCTACTTTGTTTCAAACTTAGTTGAAACCAAATGTTTTTTTATCTAATATCACCACAGCTTCCAAACTTTTATTTGTTAAAAAATTTAGGACTGAAAAGTGAAAACATTATTTAATTCCATGAGTTATATTTAAGTCAATAGGCTAATTAGTTTAGACATTATTCAACACACGGTCAATAGACTAATCATTTAGAATTGAGGTATTGTACACCTATAAAAAGGCAAAATTTCTGGACCCAGTCTAATTGAATAAGAACAAATGAAAGCTAGCTTAGAGGCCCTAGACAACTATTAAATATATTAAAGCAGATGAAATGTCAATATGAAAAGGTGGGCTTAGGAATTAAAATTGATTAAATTAGAAGTACAAGGATAAAGGTTAATCTTTTCACACAAATAACAAGCGAATATGCAGTGTCATATTTTTTTTCATGGTCAAGCTGAATGCAGGGGGGAAAAAACAGATTGGATATGGAGAAAGAAAAGAAAAAACACTTACCTAGTGAAGCTAATTGCTGCTTCCTTCCAGTACCTGGTGGTCGACCCCTACCCCGTTTTTGGGTTGGTGCTGATGCCCCGGGATGTGTAGCTGGTGAGGAAGTCAAAGCTAATGACACAGTCCCATCAGGGCCATATTTCCGGGGCCTTCCCCTTTTGCGCTTCATAGTCTCACCTGGTGCCACTGGAGAAGGTGCACCGACATTGCTGTGGGACGGAATGGAAGATGAAGGCTCGACAGGTAAAGTTGATCCGATAGTAGTAGCACTAATGCTTGAATGATATTGCACATTTGGATTAGATAATGAATGAAGGCCTGGCGATCCATGTAGAGCAGACTGTGTTCCAGACCCTGATCCAGTTATTCCTCTTTGTTGTATATAGTAAGATGCAGACCCAGATAATGCCATAGCATCCCTTCGATCCATGCATTTACCTCTAATAACCTATACTTAAATATTCCTTTGAATCAGCTTCAACCTAATAATTTGAAATAAACTACAAATATAGTTATAGCTTAACCAGTAGGTGCGATGACAAACACTCCACAGCAATTGCAAACACAGAACAATGTTAGATCTATTGGACCCCGAATTTTGACCACTAAGCAGCTTAAGGTATTTAGATCTTGAACAAACATGGAAAAAGCCATATGAAATCCTCACAATAATCTAAGAAAGAACTTGATTGACCACACTCCATCATGGAATGTTCTTCAATTGAAGATTTGAAAGCTCTAAACGGTAGCATGATACCAAATGGAGGCAGAACATAACCCAAAGACATACATTGATAGTCAGCGATGAAACTCTTTAAACTAGACTAGATACAAGATAAGATATTAAAATAGGGGAAAAGAAACAAACCCTAGGTTCGGAGCATTTCCAGAGTTACACGAGGGGAACGTGTAAAAGACCACAAAAGAAATTACCAGATAAATGAGAGAAAATAAATAAAATCAAAGCTAGAATCCAAAGCAGCCAACAGGAGAAAAGGAAAATAAAGAGAGGTGAAATCTCAATCTCAAAAATTGAAAGAAAAAGACAAAAATGCAAGCTGTTTTACAGCTTACCGAACCAGAAGACACAATTACAAAGGCTTGATTCCCAAGATAAAGAACAGATGGAAACTCAAAACAGGTCCACACTCTCACCAACACATTGCCTGGCTTTAACATCAAGCATCTTCCCACAACAAACCCAAAACCTCAACTCAAAATTAGGAAAACCATCTAAATTTTAAGACAAAAAAGGGACATACAATGGTCAAGCCAATGCCATGAAAGAAGTCAAACCCAGATGAAAGAAAACCCAATAACAAAATCACAACTTTTCATCTTTAAACAAACAAAATGGCAAAGATGAGAGTAGTAACTTACATCAGTGAACTGGGGTTGGAGCCTAGAGGTAGATCACGTCCAAAGGATGAGACTTTGAAAGAACCAATGAAGCAGCAGAGCCTCTACAAGGGTTAAGAGTCGAACACTTTGCAGGCATGAAATTAAAAGCAGACTGATGCTGAGAAGTGGCGCAGAGAGCAGGAGAAGACCATCTGTGCATAGGGTGATGGTGAAGCAGTTCTTCTGAAGCTTATTATAATAAAAAAATAGTTATTACTCAACTTTTACTACAAAAAGCTCTTGCACACACAAGTCCTTATCGCGATGCATATTTCAAGGGCAGAGCTTTCTCTCCTTTCTCTCACCTCAAAGCTGCTCTTCTTTCCTTACCTTCTCTATCTGTAAAGTTTCCATCTTTATCTCTTTCTCTCTCTACTGGGTGCGTGACCAGTGAGTGATGATGCTTTGCTTTACTGAGATTGAAATTGGAAGGCTTTGGAGAGAGAGAGAGAACAAAGGAAACAAACAAAAGCTTCAAACGTTTATTCTTGGATAATTCTAATTTATTTTTATTTTTCGTTGAAAAATTAAAATATTGGGAAAATAAAAAGTTAAATAACCTTGACTTGTCTAAACTACGCGCAACTAAACCACGCGCCACATTTCAGCCTTTCTCTTTCTTTTTTTTTGATTTTTTTGGTTGGCCGGCAGCCTTTCTTTTTCTTTTTCCTGCTTTTTTTAAGTAGTTTTTCTTCCTTTTCTTTACTTTCTTTTTTCTTTATTTAAATTTTGACTTTTATATATATGAATTATATTTTTTTTTTTGAAAATTTTAAAATATTATATTATATTAGGTTTGAAGGTTGAAAAAATTAAAAGATATTTCCACTTAAATTTGTCACGTGCAAGTTATAATGGAATTTTTTTCAAAAAAAAAAAACTGTAAGTTTTTGTATATAAAAATCCTAAAATGAGTAATTACGTGTAATCACTCAAGCTTCTAAATACAATTAAAACAAAATTAGAACTATCTCAAGCGGGCTTCAATTCCAGCACCTGTTA